CATTTTTGGTAAAGTAGTGACATTGGCACTAATATTAAAACTAAATCAAAGTGCACATGGTTCTTCAACCTCAAGGAGAGGCACAGGGTGGACACATTGAACGTCCAAGGAATTTACTTAATATGGTCACTTGCCCCATAAAGGGTTAAAAGTGAATTCTTGACTGGACTATGTATCCCAAACACAATGCATTCAGTTTTGCCTTCATTTAGGAGTAGGAAGTTGGATGACAACCACTGCTTAATGTCTTCAATACACATGTTACACTACTCTGTGCCTCACTTTCAACTTGGTAAAAGCTGCCTAAATTATGATAAGAATAATATCAGTCTTCATTGATGTAGGATGAAATCAGACTAATAGATATAAAACATTTAACTATTTAACAAACTTTCCAAAGACAGAATAAAACTGGACTTAGAGGCCAGTTTGTATGTAGATGTGTAGATAGATCTACATTGTTGTGGTATTCATTTAAATGATTGTTTATTTAAGCTGATTTTCTGTAAGCTTCACGTTTTGAACCAATACCCCTGCGATAAATTTGCTGAGTCACTCTCTACCTTTTTACCTTTTCACATAGAAATCTTCCAGTTTACTAAACAACACAAATGTAACAAGCTTCTGGAAAACCGTCAAATTCTCTAACATTTAAAATATTCATCAATATTTTAATCTTTCATTTATCTTGAATGTATGAAGTTTTCATATTCATATTTTGTTAATTTAAATAAAAAGTGGGCGGGGTTTGTCGGTTTGGTCTGTAACCTGATTAGACAGCTGCTTCTAGAAACAAACAGGAAGCTGAAAATGTTGAAACATGAGCCGAGAATCTGGAACGAAGGTGGTGGACCGAAGCTAAAGAAACACCTTCCAGCAGGTAAGAATTAGTTTAATGTTAAAACGGAGCCTGGCAGGTGTCATGGCGGCCGCACGGACAGCTAACACAGCTAGCATATGCTAACAAGTCCTGGAAGCTGCAGGACAAAGCAAGTTTAATGTATTCAGGCTTTGTTGGAGTTAGCTGGCTCTCCAAAACCTAAAACAAAAGTCAGAGAACAACAACAACAACAACAACAACAACAATAATACTTAATAAATCACGCTAAATTTTAACATCTATTTGCTAAATGGGACACTTTCTGAAATGTTTGTATTTTGGATGAATTCTTGGAGTCAGTCCAAAGCCTCACATGGTACAATTCTATAGACATTAACCCACTTGATTACAAAATGCAGAATATGAAATAAACAGTAATCAAACATACAGTTGACTGATTGATTTT